GTCTGAGTGGAAAACTGCTGAATACCCTTTAATATTAAGCTTAAGTAACTGGCCTTTAGTGGAATCTTCCAGGATTTGTCCGGGCGTGTCAAGTGCTTCTTGCTCAGTGTTCCATGTCACCTTGGCAGTCATATTGCCAGTGTAGCATTTACTGCATAATTCAGAAACAAATCATTTACATTTTGTTCTCTCTCTCTCTCTTCTTGAAAACTGTCACTGATAAAAGGTAAAAACCCTGTATCTGTTTTGCCTTTATATCTCTTGAACTTAGCATGTAATTTTTTCCTGGATGGATAACTCCTTTATGACTTCAAGACCCCTGTCCCAGGAGGCTTTCTGTAGCCCTTGATTGTCCTTTACCGAGAGACGACAAATGGCCTCATCAGCCCTTAGTATATGTTCCCTTTTTCACCAGTGTCACCGGAAAAGAGTTTGGGAAAGAGTAAACGTTAAGAAAGTTAGAACTAGAGCGAAAAGTAAACATAAGAAACATAAAAAGCAACTTTCTATCGCAAGACAAATTAAATGCAGAGCTATGCATTGGGGTGCCACCAAATAAGGTCATGAACTTTTTTTTATGATTGTTGTAATTAGCAAGTATTTGCTGAGCTTCAAAGGAATTATCCTGCTATCATTTTCAGAATGAGAAGGTTGGAGGGAATTTTTTTTTATGCCCTAGTATTTTTTCCATATCAGTTGATCTGAAGACATCATCAATGTGCAAAAGAGGTCCTTGGCTTGCTTTCTGTCCTTTCTCTTACCCTCCTCTTCAGCACATTCAATTGGTTTGGCCAGTGAGCAGACTGAACAGTCTAAAGAGAAGAGGCTTGGAAACAAGAGAGGTGGTCACAGCCAAAGCACTGAAAAAAAGGGGTTTGGATATGGTCTCTCTTGTCACTGGAGCGAACAGGAAAGAGTGAGCAAGAAGGGGACACTTGCCAAGTCGACCACGTCTGATTGGAAGCCTCAGAGATGACATCAGGTCTCTGGTGTACAGCAGACCCGAGAGGCCCACCATGTGGAACATGTTAATGGCATGCCGTTACCTAGGACCATTTTAAAAAATTCATTAGACAATGAATTCACTTTTTAAAACTTGGAGATAAAATTTTACAAAACTGGGGTACAATGATGATGATAAGTAAACAATACGCAGCACAGGATAAACTTTGAATAGACACCAAGTCGCTGAAGATGTTAATGGGTAGCTGGCAAGGACTCTCGTAAGAGAAAATGAGGGGTGCAAGAGAAGATGAGGGGTGCAATGACTTCCTCTGTGAGGAGGCTCAGTCTCTGCTGAAGCTCAGGAATCCCAGGGCTGGAACAAAAGAAATCAAGGTGAATGGGAACCTCTCTGAGCCCGAAGTCAATAAAGGAATCATTATAATCAGCTATAGAAGCAATTCCCAAATTTCCAATGGCAGTAGATATCTTCAGTTTCAGAGACTTTATTTTACACCAAGTTGTGTTTCTGCTTTAGGCTTAGAAAAATGAATGCTGGTTAAGATTTATGAAATAATCACTCAGTAATAAAACATCTATTCCTCTATTTATTGATTCAATGCATATCATTAGAAATCTCACCCTGTAACCATCACTGTGCTACGCAGTGGGTACAGACAAGCATGGGATCCAAAGCCTTTGAGGTGCATACATGCTAGTGGGGGAGAGAGGTGAGTTGTCTAATCTTGCCATGTTACCACACCAAATCCTGATATATAGGACTAATACTTTCTAACAATGAAGATCTATCCAATGAAGTTTAACAGAGTTTGAGGACAAATAAATGATGTGGCATATGATAAGCATATAAGATTAATTTTTCTAAACAGAGATGCACACTGAATATGTAAATAGATTCAGTAATACAAATCTGTGAAACCTATATTATCCTATAGGATAATATACATTGTAGGATAATTTATATTATTGAGTAATTTATATATATCCTGTGTAGGAGAAATCAATGAGAGAGATCCACAGTGGATTAGTAAAGTATAGTTAGGCATGTGTGGTCTTAGTTATTATTTTGGGGCCATTATGACCCTTCCCCCACAATTCTACCACCAAAATAACCCTTGTTGTGACAGACCCCTGGATAAACTATGGATGTGTCCATACGTGACATGTAGTACATTATGTTCTTATGCCAAGGAAAGCCTCCCTGATGAGGCTGAGGCAGGTGGATGCCTTGTGGGAAGTATCTGGCTCTCTCACTATTTACCCATTGTTAATGAACTAGAGGGTGATATTTTAGCTCAGAACAAAAGAAACCAAAATACATCTGTCAGAAAGAACTTTCTAACAGATCAAGAAACTGAAAAACTTCCCGAGGAAATATGCCAACAGAGGCTGGATAACCATCCAAGATGGTATCATAAGAGGTAAAGTAGATGACACCCAATGGATACCATCTGCAATTTAAAATCTGCAATTCTGTAACTCAGTCTTTTGGTTGGATTTTAGATTTGGATAAATAGATCAATGGTCACAATCTTATATGGAGTTGACTGCTTAAATTAAAATTTCTAATGTCTTGGCCACAATCTTTCTGCCTATTTTGAAAATGAAACATCTGTGGTTTGAATGTGTTCCTTAAAGGTCATGTGTTGGAGACTTCATCCCTCATGCAACAGTGTTGAGAGGTGGGACTTTGAGAGGTGACTAGGTTATGAGGGCTCTGCCCCCATTCCTATATTAATGCTGTTTTTGTGAGAGTCGGTTAATTATTGCAGAAGGGAGTTCCTGATAAAAGGATGAATTTGACCCCCTTCTTTCTCGTTCTCACCCCTTTTTACCCTTCAACCTCTCACCATCGGATAGCTCAGCACAAAGGCTCTCACTAGGTGCCAGCCCCATGCTCTTGTATTACTTAGCCTCCAGAACCAGGAGCCAAATAAACTTCTGTTGTTTATAAATTACCAAGTTTTTGGTATTCTATTATAGCAGTACAAAATGGACTAAGAAAATAAAGTTCATTTTCTACTTATTCAACAAATAAAATGTTGGAAGTGTATTAGTGTATTATTGAACTTCACAGTCTTCTAGCACTTTAGTATGAACTGAGAAGGGACAGTTCTTTGTCCTTGAGCTAATATTCTGTCCTCATCATTGGTACGTGTTCCTGAGAAGAATGGAATAGGAGGTGGAACAATAAAGACCCTGCCATTTGCAGTGAGCCTCCTGGGCCATTAGAGGCAATCCTAAGATGTCCTGGTGGGCAGCCAACATTCCACAACAAAGCAGTAAGATCTAAGCCGGGCCTATCTATTTCTCCTATCCACCGAGGCTCAGCATGGCTTTATCTGCCTATCCCCTTATTATTCTGAACTCCCTAATTGCCCAGGCTCTATCTCTCTGCAAATAGTTTCAGGTACTGTATTCAGCATTAATGTGGAGTGACTATGTGGAGATGTCTTCTATTCCTACTTCTAACAGATTAACAGCTAATAAACACCATGCAATACTCTCTTCTCTGAACCTCTTCTTAAAATAAAGAGTTTGGCTTGCCAACATTCATGTATTTAAAGCCTCCAAGATTCCAGGGAAGACTTTAGAAAGTTAACTGTGCAAGTAAGGCCTATTCATAGAGGAAATTTTCCAAAACAAAGTCAATCGGTAGCTCATCCGAGAAGAAGCTAAGAGGATCTGATAGTCGTTTGAGACACTATACCTCCTTCTAGTGACTTTTTTTCCTCTTTTCTTTCCTCCTTCCCTCCCGTCCTCCCTCCCTCCCTCCATTCCTTCCTTTCTTCTCTTCTTTCTTTAAAGATAGAGGCAGAGTCTTGCTATGTTGCCCAGGCTGGTCTCGAATTCCTGGCCTCAAGCAATCTTCCTATTGTGAGCTCCCAAAGTGCAAGGATTACAAGCATGAGCCACTGTGCCCAGCCCCTTCTAGTGACTTTGCAATGAACAGACGTATACTACCTGCTCTTTCTCACTCTTCTTCTTCACCTTTCCCATAGTCCCTACACTTTCCCTCTCTCCACTTAGATAGGAGTGAAGGAGCTAGTTTTAAAGACAAGTCAATAATCTGAAGCTGCGTTCAAAGTTTTAAACAGTGTCCCAGCTGATATTTAGTTTTCAGGGCATGGAATAGGGCCAAGAATATATCTAAGATGACTTGGGTAATTATGTGAAAATGATGTATATCACACTTCATATATGCATTTGAGGCATAATTAATTGAAGGATAAAGTAGACGGGGTACACATAGTCTCATTTATGGAATTTTCCATACCAATAAGCCAGAAGCCTTAAAGAAACGTACCTTTAAAATATTGGATATTTCTCGAAGACCGACAGTTTTGTGACTCTCAAAGCCCAGCTTATTAGGTTACAAAAATACAGACAAATATTTGGAGAAATGTATTGGTCTTTTTGCCTGAGGTCTAATTTGAGACCAAGCCGTTTTTTTGCCTTCAGGTTAAGTGTCTCTTGTTGCAACAGAAACTCAAGCGTATTTAATGGCTCACCTCTCTTTTTATTTCTGCTGTCCCGCTCATCTCTGTTGATTGAAGAAGACTTTAAAGCCACGGCAGTTTGACAGTGTCACTGACTCTTCACCTCCCCGAGGTGTGGCGTTGACTGGGACAGGCTGTGTCTGTGACTGTGGTAACGGTGCTGACATCATTCTGTGCGAGAGAAGTCGTCAGTGCTACCTTCTGCTCAACTGTACTGATATCAGTGGCCTTGACTTTTAACACTTAAAAGGCATTTTTCATTCAGACCAAAGCTCCTTTGAAGAAAGATCGGAGTGAAATGCCATCACAGTTACCAGTTTGCTTGCAAATAATTGGAACTGGGTTAATCTGCGCTTCCGCTTGCAATCCGACATCATCTGTGCCTCGTGCTTTTCCACATGGATTTGCCCTGATGGTGACATCTCTCAGCGTCTATGTTTATGTTACCTGCTTGACAAACCACCTCTAGATCTTTAAAAAGTCAGTGCATTTCTTGGGGTTATTTACGACTTCCTTTGCTGGTTTTTCTCTCTCTAGAACCGGACTTGAAGCCATCATGGAGACTTATGCATTCTGGAGACCTCCTGTACGTACACTCACTTTTGAAGATTTCACCACCATGCAAAAGCAGCAAGGTAAAGCCCTGGGACAAGGCCTCTGCCTAGTGACAGGGACGGAGAGAGAGTGAGAGCTGAAATAAATATAGCACATTTGGCCCCAGGCCAAGATATGGGTTATATCAATTCTCCTGGAATGAAGAGAACTCGGTAGCTCCATAAATAACCAAAGCATCACCACTTGTGCACACAAGCTGGTTCCAGAGGCCGCATTTCACCTGGCACTCAAACTTCTCTCCCCTTTCCTTAAAGCATGATTATATGTTTATGATTATGATGGTGAATAGAATTATTATTACTATTGCTGAGCATTCGCCTAGGTATTTAAAGAGATCTTTGGAATAACTTCATTTATTTCTCATGGCAGTTTTGTAGATGAGCAACAACTCAGCTCTGGACAATGGGAATAAGTCGCATCAGGTCTCAGAGTGAGGAGTGGGCTATTACAAGCCCATCTGAGCCTTGACACGTGTGCTCTTTCCTTTTTGTGCATCTGAAAAAACACCCCTCTGAAGTTGGTGAGCTGAGTGAACGCTTCTCCCTGCTGCTTTGTGCTTTTCATTCAATTTCTTATCTCCTTTTCTTTGTAGCTCAGGCCAGGTGACCTGTAGCCATGTATACAGGTGATTTGTGGGCTGACTTTAATTCCTGTGCTCAGTGCAGTCTGTGGCTCTCCCTGGCACAGACCCCATCCACCTGGGTGCCTGGGTGAGGGCTTCCCAAAGAGTCAGATGGCTTATGAGTCTCCTTCAACCTCTCCCTGCCCAAAGATGATAGTGATCAACGTTTACAGACTGGGCTCATTTGTTCCACTGCACGGCTGTCATGAGCAGAAGCCTAAGTTGTGAATTTAAGGTTCAGCCATTTGGGAGGCCATTCTAGGACACGATAACATACTACATTACATTTCCTCGTCAAGGGAGCTTCTAGCACTTTGCACACTGAATTCGGTGTGTAACACAAAATGCTGAGATCTGTCAGGTTGTAAGATGAGCATAGTGTTTTATTAAAAAAGCAGAGACTCCGGAGTCAGACAGTCTGGATTAGGCTCTGACCATTGTTGCTGTCTAACTTTGTGACCTGGGCTAAGTCTCTCAACTTTTCTGATACTCAGTTTTATCTTCTGCATTATAGAGAAAAATAGAATTCTTGTGAGGGTCAAATGAGACAAGGTGTTTAAATAGTAGGCGCTTAATACTGCCAGTTACTGTTGTCTTCATCATCACCTTCGTCTTCAAGTCCCCTGTGCTCCTGTATTTGGACACCTAAGAGAAGGACAGATCAGAGACAGGGAATATTGCCTTTCCAAGGATAAATTGTTTAAAACATGATTTGACTATTTCTCTTCACTGGGATCTGGTGAGGTAGGTGATCTAGGATTTCTATCTCTTTTATATACGGCTCACCATACAGGTGTGAGTAGAAGCATAGTCAAAAATCATTCCGGGGATTACTACTGCTTTGAGGCCCTCATGGCCCTTTAGAGGCAGAGGTTTATGGAAGTCAGGAAAATCTGAGCCCTCGCCTTTGATGATCACTCATTCTCTATACTTTGGGCAATTTACTTTTTCTCTGAGAGTCAGTTTCCTCATCTACAAGAGGGACAGTGTGTTGTGTGTGTGTGTGTGTGTGTGTGTGTGAGAGAGAGAGAGAGAGAGAGAGAGAGAGAGAGAATGTATATAGACATGCTTTATAAACAAAATGCATCATGCAGATATACTTACTTGACTCGATTTAGTTCTGAGATGGCTTCTTTGCTTATCTGCCATTGCTTTACTCCTGAATTTTCCAAGCTCTAGCTGAGTAGAGGTTTGTGTCATGGAGGCTGATATGAGAAGGTTGGTAGGGAAATTGCAGTTCCTGAGAGCAGGTATTGATGTGACAAATGGGTTCACTGCTGTGTGTGTCCTCAAGTTCTATCACAGGGGCTGGCCCCCAGTTCTGGCACTGTGGCTCAGGTAGGCAGGGTCATCTTCAGCTTCCATTTTGGAGCACAACCACCTACCATGTATGTGGGACATGGAAATAGAGTGGTCAGTGGGGTTGGCCATTGGTGAGGCGTGGACACAGGGAACCTGCATGGGTTGCTTAGCTGTGCAGCACAGTTGATTTCATGACACTTATACTAAAAGTCTGTCAATATGAAAGCTTATTACTGACACTTTGAACCCAATGGCTTAAGAGAAACTGAAGTTTTAAAACACTTCAGCTTCAGTGACCCCCTTTTTTTATTGGAAGTGGGGAAAGAGCTTGAATTATTGGATACATATGGGGATGGGATGGAGCTAGAGGAAAAGCTCAAGACTCTATTAAATAGTTTAATTGGAATATATTTTTGAACTATACACTGAACTTGATCCAGATTCTCATTATTAAAAAACATGTGGCTTGGTTTCTTGACGTTAACAAAGGACATAAAAGTAACAACACCCATTCCCTCTCCCCTTAAGAACTAAGAGTTTCAGTAACTCTGGACAGTATCACTCATAAAATGCAGAAAAGAGACACAGCCATCTGTGCTGAATTGTTTTGTGAAGGAATCGAGAGGGGTGAACTTCTAGTGGAAACTGCAGTGGCAGACTGATTTTTTTACAGTAATTCCCTTGTAATGAGGGGAGTATTGACATTTTTTGGCACCTAATCCAAGATGCAAATAATGACTGACTCGATTGTTCATACTACTTCATTGAGTCAAACACATGACTACCTATTGTGTCAAATAGCAGGCCTAGGACAGTTTTGTGATGCTACTAATGAGGGTTGTATCCACTTTTCTGCTGAGAAGCTGTTACGCATGCTCTTTGCATCCTGTCCTTGCCCATTTTTCTTGCTTTCATTGAGACTCTCCTGCTGATAAAATGTCAAGGAAAGCACTTAGGTCAATTTGCCACAGTTTGGCAAAAACTCAAATACTTCCATTTAAAACAAAAGCATACTGAATACAATGTTCTAAATCTTTTTTTCTTTTATGAAGAAGAATGCATGGGATTCATTATCCTCTGTCTTTGACAAGAAAATAAACGGGGGCATGAAGCAATCTTATACCATATCTGCAGTTAAGTGGTGGCAGAACTGAGGTGAACCGGTCGGTGTAGATCTCCTCTTCAACAGGACAATCCCCCCCACCCCACCAGACCATATTATCTTTCTTCATTCTTACTTATCAGAGTTTAAATTTTCCACAAAGAATTTATTTAACGTACTCTTCCTAATGATGGTTTATTGTTAAATAGCTTCAGTATTGACTCTAAAAATCAATCGTGCTTCATTTTTCATGAAGTTAAGTATATGGTCTTATTTTCAGATGTCTCCCTTTAGAATCTGCTAGAATTTTTTAATATTTGGAGAGTCTGAAGGGTAAGGAGATGAAGTTTCTATTTCAGGAATGGTTTCTGTGTGATCACTGCTAGAGACAGTGAGGAACTAACCAAGTCAGTTATCCCTGGGGAAGGTGGCTGAGGCAATAAACACAGAAGAAAAAAATAAGTAAGAGCCCGGACCACTTATAGCCAAGAGCATTGTAATCCTGTGGTTCTGATGGCTATCCTCGAAGAGAATGTGTGCCTCAATTTCTTCCTATATATATGTGAAGAGCTATTTGTATGGCCAAAACGGAGAGAGTTTTGTGAGCCGGGTCTTTAAGTGCTCTGACAACCGTTGTGCTAAGAAGAACCGTTCTGGACCAGTGATGCCAGACCTGGCAGTACACCTCTCTCTGTGGACGTGAGGAGACCTGCCATTTACAGAAGCGCCCTCTTTTCCTCGAGCACTAGCACACATCACTACAGACTTCGATACTACTGGTTACTTCTGTGTTTGTCAAGCAGTTAAAGAGCTAGGGTTATGAGGGTCTCTGCCGATGACTGGAGCTCATCGGTCTGACGTGTATTAGGTACATGGTGGGCAGCGACAGGGATCAGACACGACGCAAGTCGTCCCAGTAAGATATCGGGAAAGAAGGACCATTCAGTCGACATCAGCCTTTGAGCTGACTGTGATGATTCAAACACAGTCGGTGTACAAAGACCCCATTTGTCACCGAGATGAGGAACCATCTGTGTGGCTTATAACTGCCCCCCAAATTTTTTTTTAAAGCACTACTCTTTCGGCTACAGAAGGACAATATTTCAATTCCACAGCGTGGCCTACGTTGTAGGCATGAGGAGCTCCTGACGGAGGTGGAGAGCATCTCAATTCAATCCTAGAACAAACGGTATTTTGATTACATGTTCTATTTGCCCCCCGAGTCTCTGACGTTCAGTGTGTTCAAAACCAAGTTTATCATCTACCTCACAGACTTGGCACCCTCTCCAGGAGAGGATACCATCATCCACTCCACATCCCTCAACATCCCTCAGAGCGAATCATTAGCAAGTTCTTGAATCTGTCTGCATCCCTAACCTCCCTTGAGACCACCCACTCTGGGCTGACACCGTCTCTCGTTGGAGGACTGCAACGTCCTCCACAGTCTCTGCTCTTCCCCACGAGTCATTCCTTCTCCACACACGGGGCAGAGTCATCTTTTCAAAACGCACACATTCGCACATGAACCCTCTCTACCATCAGCTTACTTAAAACTCGTCAGAGAAGGATACAGTAGCTCAGGCCTGTAACCCCAGCTCTTTGGGAGGCCAAAGTGGGAGGGTTGCTTGAAGCCAGGAGTTCAACACCAGACTGAGCAACATAGCAAGACTCCACCTCTACAAAAAGAAAAATAAAAAAATGTATTTTAAAAAGTAGCTTAGCATGGTGGCTCATGCTTGTAATTCTAGCTACTCAGGAGGTTGAGGCATAAGGATCACTTGAGCCCAGGAGTTTGAGGCTGCCATGAGCTATGATCATGCCACTGCGCTCCAGCCTGGATGACAAAATGAGTCCTCGACTCGAAAAAATAACAAACAAACAAAACTCCAATAAATAAACTAACAAAAAAACACACATACACACAGATAAAAACCCTTCAGGGACCAGTTTCACTAATGAAAGACATATTCCCTAACATAACTAACTAGACCTTGCATGTTTTGGCTTTTGCTGCTTTACCTCTAAAATGGAGATAGTAGCAATGAGAATTAAATAATACGTGTATAGTGCTTAGGAAAGTCTAGGACTTATAGGTACTTAATGAATGTTCCCTATGATTATTCTTATTACTGTTGTTACTATGCTAGCCTCAGCCTATGCCACCTTTTCTTTTCTCTCTCGTTTCAGCATCACCCATCTTCCATCATTTTTCAGATGTGCTGTGCTCTTTACTGCCGCATGTGACTCCTTTGCCTGGAAGGCTCCTTCCCACCTGCTGGCTTTCTCAGTGCTGTCCTCTTTGAGATCTCAGCTTAGATATCACTTCCTTGGGGGAAATTCTCTGCCATCCAGAGTAGACTGTCTCCTCAGGGTGTGCTCTTGTTTATTTGTGCTATACTTTTTATTAATTTATCTCATCTAAAGCTCACCATTTCCCCCCCTCAGGATTAAACCTCTGGGTCCAACTACTCCTTTATTGAGTGTATATTTAGTACTCAAATAGTGGTTAAATGAGTGAATAAACTCTGCTAGGTTCTGTATCATGGGAACTGATATTTGTGCTTGGCAAAAATTCATCAAATTAAGACAACTTTATGGTAAAATTTGAAGGAAAGGAAGATTAGAAAAAAAATAAAAATAAACAGAAAACCAGATACCAGGAAGGAAATAAGTTCTGTAAAGGATAGCGGAGAAAGTGTCCAAAAAGTCTAGTGAAAATAATAGGACAGCAAGTGGGGAGTAATTGCTTATGGTGTCAGGTATCCATATATCAGTGCCTGTGATAGGGGGCATAAGTAAAATGACTTTGAAGTTTTATTACAAAGAATTAAGGGTTCCTTATTCTCCCATCTAATCGACTCATCTAGCCAATTAACATTAGTTTTTCTTATGCGGCTCAAGGTAACGTTCAGTTTTCTTGGGACAGAAATAATAGCAAGAATAGAACATTCAGGTGACATACTTTGGAAGAAATAAACCCAACAGGAAGAAGAACATGGGTACTGCTTTCAGGAAAGTCTGCACACTTCACTCAGTTCTGGGCTGCCTAAGGTTGTTCTCACAAGATCATGTTTCTTCTGTCTTTATTTATGTGTGCTTCTTTATGTCTTCTTTAGTTGTGTTTCACAGACCTGTCTGAAGAAGAGCCACCTTGATGTCTTCAGACGCTCTTCTTTTATCTTCTGATCATTTATGGGGCTATGATTGGTTTTGGAAGTTAGCTTTCTGCTAGGTTTGTATATTCCTTTTCCCTGAACTTTTAAGAAAGCTTAATTTTAAAAAACTCGGCCGTCGTCCCTTTTCTGTTCTCTACATTATACTCATTATCTGTCATAAACACCAGCATAAAAAAACTATCCTTTTAAAAGTCATCAGCAGTCTCCCTGCATTGTTCAGCCTGTTCTTGTTGATCAGCACGAGGTTACAGTAGCTGCTCATCCTATTTCCTCAACCATTTAAGAGATGATACGGTTTTGAAAGTAAAGCCACATCTCACCAGATCCACTTTCACAGAGGCAAATTTCTTCCCAGATAGCTCTTCCCTTATTACTACGTGTAGGTGACTTATCACGTTGTCGGAAGGCATCGTCCATTGCTTCTGTCGGACACGGCGGTTCACACGCTGCTCCCACCACTCTCATGGCTATTTCTCTGTCTTCTGGCTTGTCTTAACATTCCTTGCCCTTCAGAGTCACAGTGGAACTACCTGTAGCATTCGAGGACTCTATCAATCAGAATTCTCAGTGTTGTAAGCCAAATCAAAACCAAATGGCAAAACCAAAAAGAAACTCGCTGACTTATGAAACGGAGAGGATTCGAGTCGCCATTTTAGGCAAAGACTGGTCCAGGGATCCCTAAAAGACCACCTGGTTTTGCCCCAGCCCTCAACTTTCCTCTCCTCCAGACTGACTTCATTTGCAAACTCCCCATGGGGGTAACATAGCTGCCAGCACCCCAGCCCTGAGTCTCTGTAGGTTTAAGTCTGAAGGAAAAGGGCATCGCCTTTCTCCTGAGAGTTCTAGCAAATATCACTGAGTCTCACTGACTCTCATTGAGTCATCCCTGAACCGATGACTAATGCTCTGATCGTCCAGGCCTCAGTCACATGCTTTTCCTGGAGGTAGGGGACAGGGGGTGCGCGTGAGAGAAGTCCTTCCCAGTGGGAGAACTGGGTACAATTGCCAGAGAGGGGCAGACTAATTCTAAATGATCATCACGACGGAGGTACACTGCGGCAAGGAAGGCAGGAGGATAAGCAGCAGAGAAAGCAAATAAGGTAACGGCAAGGGGAGAACTTGGGGCGTCGCTTTAGAGAATGTAGCAGATGTAAAGTGGGACCATCTAACTGGCAGACTCAGAACACAGAGGACCAATGTGGAAAACGAGAACTGAGTGAATATACCGGGGCTGCCACAAAACGTATACACATTTTAAGTCATGCTCTCTATGCATTACTTTTAGTTCGCTGTAATCAGAAGTGTCTGGACGTTAACGGTAACCACCTTGAGCGTTTCTTGCAATTGCAGAAGTCAACTAAGACTTGTATTCATCTTTTGATATTGGTATATAGTATTACAATTTTAATACAGTTTTTTCCTTTCTTAAAATGTGTATACTTTTTTTGGCACCCTCTTCATTAGAAGTTATTTTAAAAAGTTTGTGTCTATGCATACTTCCAAAGTTTATGGAGGAGGATGCATGAGGAGTCTGTCTAAGAGTGAAACTACACAATTCTCATTAGCACTACAATGTTCACATTTGCATTATTACAGGGGTACTCACTTCCACTATGTAATTCCTTAGGTGAGATGACTAGGCTGTGCTCATTAAACTTGATGGTCTCTGGGCTTATTCCCTGAGATCAGTCCATAGGGTGTTGATATTCTGCCTCTAACTTGTCTGAAAGCCACAAAGAAGGCTTCTCAAGGATACACAGTGAGTCAGCACTCCCCAGGGACAGATGCCACTGAGTTACATGATAGAACCAAGTAGTTACATGGAAATGTATTCTCTACTGGCCCAGATGGGATTTTGTCTTACTGTTTTTCAACTTGGGGGAGGAAGAAAAGCACAACAAAATAAACCCAAAAGGAAATTGTGTGAAAGCCCCTGTATTATAATCTGGAAGTGATCAATTTCATGATGCAAATGTCAGCAGGGTTGGTATTCAGGATTTTCATGATCACATTTAGCTTGTCTTCATGGTACCCAAGTATGTTCTAGGTTACTGTCCTTGTATAAGATCACTGCTAAACATGTATTCTTTTTGGCTGTTTTGACTGTAAGGCTTGAATTTGGAGCAAGCTAATGTATATGCATTGTAATATGCATATCCTCGCTTTGGTCCGTGGGTTAAAATAGGATATGGGATCTGGGACTGTAAGAGATTGATCCTGGGACTCCTGAGAGCTTTAAGCCACTTAGGGCGTTGCGTTCTAATCACTTCTCAGAGATGAACGAAGAGCTCTAAGGACAGTGAGAAAGACATCAACCCCGATCTGTGTTCTGTCAACTCTGCTTTGCTTGATCTGAGAAGACAGGGAGCTATGGGGAAGCCCGTTTTCGTCCTGGCCTGGGGTAGGGAGGAAGGACAGATAATTCAGAGAAGATTCAGAATTGGTTAGCTTTTGGGAATATGGTCCAGGTGGGCCCATAGCTGCCACTTGGCCCAGTACTCTGACATTCACAACCACGGAGGCTCCTCTAGACTATAACAACAGACATGCAGCTGTTGTAACATAATGCTCCTCAGTGTGTGGAGAGGCCAAGATGCTCAACTCCATGGACAGAGGCCAACACCTGAGAGCCATCCTCACTGGAACCCAAATGCCCAAGATTCCTTTCTCATTCCTTTACTCCTCCTCTCATAGATCTATAGAGTATTCAATGCCTGTGTGCCATGTCCTGTTATGAGCACTTTGTAATGTGTATTACCTATTTCTCAAAATACCTCTCCAAAGTAGCTATTCCATTTATATGGTTAAGAAACCCAAGGCTTGGAGAGGCTAACTGGCTAAGGTTTCATAAGCTGTAAGACAGCTAGAATTGAACTGGATTTGTCTGATTCTATAGTCTGTGCTCTTCCATTAAATAAAATTTCTCTCGAGCTGCTCACAGCACTCAGGAGCTAGCTGGTACAGAGGGGAGGAAGGTAAGGGGAATAGAGGCATGCTTTGCTTTGAGAGGAGGCTCTGGCTCTTCATGCCGCCCTGGCTCTTCTGTGATGAGAGTCCCTAGTCGGCCAAGCGTTGAAAATGCAGGGAGGCTGGGCTCCCTCTTTGTGCTTCTTTAGCATTTGGCTGGCATTCCCAATCTTGTCTAGCAGTGGACAAGCTGTTGGATCATAAGAGAACACAGAGTTGTCAGGATCTTGGTTTGCTTCTCTGCAAAATGAATACCATAGTCTTCTCGCTGTCTATGGACTTTGAGAAACAGCTACTATCTGTATCGAGTACTTCAAGTGCACGAGAGCATTTCTTCAAAGTGCATGGAAGCAGTGTGACCTTCGCTTGGATAGACTTGCCTCCCTTCAAATGCTCGTTCATCTGGAGGCTCTCACCCCCCAAGCTCAGCAGGCCACCAAGTCTCATTTCCAGTGAATGTCATTTAAAAGCCAAAGCAAGCTGACTACAAACTTTCTAACATGTGCCTCTCATCTGCTCAGCAGAAATCCCTGTAACTTCTTAATAGTTCCCTTCTCGTTTTTTTTTTTTTGTAGTGAAACCAGTGGAGGCCTTAAATCAGTGCCATTCATTCCATTTTGGGCCATCAGAGAAAACCATTTAGAGTTGTAGAAAGTCATCTGCTCCGTCTTGCACTTCCTGCAGGAGGGCTAGTGCTAGGGCCTGATGCAGTGTACCTACAACAGGGAAGTATGGTGTGCTGAACAGGTGGTCTCCTTGGGGACCACATAAACACCAGATCAGGGAGAACAAGGACAGACTTTCAAAGAGAGGAGACCAGATACATAGCTCATAAAACACAAATCTCTTTACAGCTGGAGTCAAGTTTCTCCATTTGTGCCATGGCATTTATTTGAGCAAAACTCATGGCCTTGAGAGTGGAAGAGGAGGAAAATATGCCGGATCCCTCAAAGAGGAACCCCACGCTTGCAGAAAATGTATCCCTGAGCTTTCTGGGAGGCACAGAGGGCTTGACCATTCAGCTGTACAAAAACAAGACACATGAGATGTTCCTCCTCCTCCTTCTAGAATCTTCTTCCAGAACCCCTTCATTACATTAACATGATTCCTTGGAAAGTGCTTGTAGTTGGCCATCTACATGTTCTCAATCCTCAGATACAGGTATGCTGAAAAGGATAGGGACTAAGGACCATTAGTCCAAGCCCCTCATTTCACAGCTGATGAGAATGAAGAGGCAGCCTGTGTTGCTTGTGGTCATGAGCTGCACAGAGACTGATGGACCTAGAATTGGATTTAGAGCTCTCTGCAACATGGCCACCTGCTAGCTTCCTTCTCCCAGTGGTATCTTCAAGGTTGGCCTTATCTCAAATTGTGGAATAAAAATCTTTTTACTCCTGACTTGTACCCTACATCTTAAGAAAAAAAATCTTTTTTACTTCTCTTAAGGGAATTTAAGTTGTAAGCTAGAATGAGGATGAAGAATTTCCTGAAATGACTGTAACATCGGTGTGATTTATATCTAAATCCAATTCTACCTTGAAAGGTTATTGGGGAGATTCTTTTGACCAAGAAAAAGATGGTATTAGTTGGGTTTTCCAAAACTTTAGCTCTGAAGAAACTTTTAACAAGCCAAATTTGTATGTCTACAGCCAGTACTATACCTATATCTGGGAATGTAGCTGAGGCTTTTTTTTTTTCCCTGCTAAAAATAATTTCTCGGTTCCTCTTTGAGGACATCTGTCTCTTGATTCCCACATCTAGGACCACTCCCCTTCCTAGCAACTGTGGATGGTTTCTTTGTAATCTAATATCAGCTGGAGCCCTGCTGGTTTTTATAACATTTTCTTCACTGGTAAAAACCTTATTCTGGCTTCTTTCCACCTAAAATGGCCTTTACTCCTTCACTGTGCTCAGCTTCTAAGAGCCCCAGCACGAGTGGTAGTTGACCTGAAGGGTACTAAGCTCCCTGAGAAATCACAGCTCTCAAGAATGCTTGGAAAGTCTGAGCCTTGATCTGAAGGGAAGGGCATTTCATCGTGGCAGATTTTCTAAGGAAGACAAAGTGGCAGCTCCTTTTTGGGATTTGAATACCTGGCCCAGCAGCCGCAGCCCTTTAACTTGCATTGGGCGAGGCAGGAAGTGGACGGGGTACTGGCTGCTTTCTGGCCCCAGAAAAGGGAAGGCTGGAAAGGCCGTTTTTTGCCTTCTTAAACTCTCCAAGAACACATTTGAAGTAGGTTGGATTAAACTACCCTCCGTCTGTTGGTGCATCGTTTACTAGTCTAGCTCTAACAGCCACACATGATAAGACCGACTCTTGCCAATACTGATGCAGGGACTTGTGGAAGTAAAAGGGATCGTTTCCCCCAAGTGTGGTCTCTGGACCATCACCTGAGAATTTGTAGAAATGCAAATTCCTATGCCCTGCCTCAGAAGCTCTGGGGGCGGAGACGGCAATCTATGTCTTAACGAGCCATACAGATGATTCTCATGTGCACTCAAGTTTAAGAATCACTGCTGTGGATACTTAGAGGTGAGGAATTTGGGCTGTATGATTGGTTCTCAAGCCTGGCTGCACATTAGAATCATTTGGGGAGCTTTAAAAATAATACTGATGCGGAGGTCTTGTGCCCAGAAACGCGTCTTTAGTTTGTCTGAGGTGGAATCCTGGAACATCAGCATTTTGAAAAGCTTACAGGTCCTCTCAGCTTGAGA